CCGTCAATAGCCAACTACATTTCCACATGAGCTACCACGAACAGAGCATTCTTACGTACACGGGAAAGTGTTAATCTGCCTTCTCAGTCCCCGCTACCCACAAGGGCTGCCTGCAAATTGTACGTTACCTCCTACAGCGTTCTTTAATCTGGCAAAATCTAGGGCACAAGTGGGATCAATATATCTTTGTTTTGAACGTGCGCGCGTGCTATATTACATCGTAACGTCCACCCTCCCGGCCTCCTGTCGTATATATGACCACTGTCATTGGTAACAGCGCTTTCTGCGCCCTCTAGGCATCCTATTTGAGTGCATTCTACAGCACGTATCAGGGATGATGAATTTCTTATATTTTCCCGGAATTCAGGGAAAAAACCGTATTTTTTATAGACTTCGCCCAGAAAAAGATCAATTCAATGGAAGACAGACCGGAAAGCTAACTCAGGGATTTTGCGCATTCACAGTTACTTGTCTTGGTATAGCATTGCTCAGGTTAACCGGGTCACGAATGGTCTCTTTTAATTAAAAGACATAGATCGTTTTTGTTTAGCTATTTATTGACATCGCACCCATTCCAGAGGTCTATGCTGATCCGAGAGATAGCTTATTGAACTGTTCCCGCATTTTAGCTGCATTTTACCTGTCTGGTGGAGTTTCTGGCTCAATATTACAGAAAGTATCCGGTTTTGTAGGTTAACTGACGCATTCTTTATCATGTCTGATACTGCTGGCCTCGGTGATGTCACGCATCATACCTCCCTCCATACGTGACGATTCGCAGCAGTGGACGTAGACAGTTTAACCCATTCTTTCCTCTAGCGACGGAGATCGAATACGGGAGGCCCGAGGACCATTTCCATGTCTTGGCGAACTGTGTCGAGCCAGGTTTTGAGTTTACCTCTTCGACGCCTCCAGGTTGGCATCGGCGCCGGATTGAGTACAGTAGCACTGAGATCGTAAGGCGGATCACGAAAAACATCCCTCATTGGTCTTTCTGTGCTGGGCTGAGATATCCGCACGATGCTGTTGCAGTGAGTGCGGACCGCTTATAAAAGTCGGTGTGCTTCACTCGAAGTATGATCCTCAAGCAACAGTGGTCATATACGTCCAGTTTTGTTCATCCAGCTTTGAAGCCTAGCATTCACAACTGTAGAGGTGGACTGACTGGATGGATTTACGGTGCACGCGGGTTTTCATGACGATATAAATGTCGCGTCGAGTCCATAGGCACTTTCTAGAGGCTGAGGAAACCCTATGGCAACATCGATTCATGGAACAATGCCGTCCATATTCTGCCAATGGGTGGCAGCCTTGTCACGAGGTACTTGAAACCATCACCTTCAAGTTGACAACCATTAGTCCCGAAAGTTTCTTTCTCCTGGTCAGAAATGCAGCTCGAAAACACCTTAGTTTTCCCGGTGTTTATGGACAAGCCGGCGGATTTCGCGACTTCAATCCAGACACCACAGACCGTAGGCCATCAAAGCCTGGGTCTAACAAGTCGATATCATTAGCGTTGTCGAGATCAGTCAGCCGGCGTCCGGGTACAAACTATTCCGCACATATGACTAGCCCCTGTGCAACTGCCTACAGGACTCTAGGGCTAGCTCCTAAATACAACAAGGCGAGCATGGCCCAAGGTCCATTCCTGGCTTCCCATGCTAATCGGATTACAGTGCCATCGTCACACTTTGTGGAGCCTTTAACCCTCCGTCCCCTGACAGCCTTTTGGTGCTGGTCCTCGACCGCTGTTTGCCTTCATCAGCTGTCTGTTTTCTTAACAGTCATTTACGCCCATTAATGTTATATATTGGGGCCTCCACTGCCCACACTGCCCTCGCACCTTCACGCATCGCATGGGTCTATTCGGCCACATGCGCATCCACAACGACCTGCGGTAGACAACCGCCGGTCACACCACACATTCCCTCACTCCCTACCTCCTCCACCACCACCATCACCCCACCAGAAATCAACACTCACACACCTCATGCACTCAACTCGGTCCCCATGCGGCCTCGGCTGCACGAGTGACTTGAGTCCGAAACTATCCCGACACGTCAAGTGTCGTGGATAGGAAGGTTGCTGATTGACGCCCGTTATCGGTTCACGCAGTTCGTCACGTTGTGTGTGTGTGTGTGTGTGTGTGTGTGTGTGTTGTGTAGTGGCGGACTGGTGGGCTGGGGACGGGCTGAAGCAGCACCTTCCACGGCACTCTCACGCATGTGAGAGACACGCCGTTCAACCCCCGTTGTGTGAAATCCTGGTGTTTGTGTGTATGGGGGGCCAGGTCGTGCTGTGGCGTGCGCAGGCATGGTCAGTCGACCATGTCAGCCACCGCGCCCATTCCCCACTCCAGTCTACTGACCGGCTCGGACAGTGGCTGGGGTGTGGGAATGGGAAGGGAGAGTGAGGTCGACGACTCAGCGCATTTTCCTCACTATAAACAATCTGACGCGCTTGAAGCTATCACGGTGCGCTAAAAGCCGTGGCTTGGAAGGTTGCCAACTGACGGGGTACCTTAAACCTACTCCATTAGTGGAGGCGGTCTGAGAGTCAGGCTGCAATGGCTCCTTTTTAATGTGGCCTTTATGGCATTCCCACCACAGTGTGGGATCCGAGCCAGGCGTTGGCGGCACGCCCAGGTGCGGCTTCGGCCGTGCCAGCCTCCAAATCTATGTTGTGTTGGTTGAAATCCTGGTTATTGTTGTGTGGACCAGGGGGGGTGGTGGAACGCCAAGGTGAGGATCCGTCCGAGCCATCCACCTGCGGCCTCCCTCGTTTCCGGTCTTCTTGACTCTGTCTTGACACCGGGCCCAGGCGGGGGAGGAGGAGGAGAGAGTGTAGGTAGATGCTACGCAAGTCTACTGGCACTATAAACCCCTGCGTAAGTCACCGTCCCTGCTCCCACCGCTGCTGCAGCTGTGGGGCACACGGTGGACATCGTCGAAATCGACGGTCGAACTGTCATTGGGGCGAACAGTTTGTGTAACCTGTTTGTGGTTGTCTAGTCAAATTGCTGCCTAGATTACGGCCACTCGTTAGATCTGCTTAATCTGACTTTTTTTATCCAGCTTTCAGCCAGCCTCTAGACCCACTGACCATCCTGTCTTCCCCATTCGTACTAAGCTAATAATTCCATCGCACATGAGCAGTAACTTTTTGGGGCGTCAGTAATTTAATCCATACATCACTGCCGAATTTTGGCATTTATCCTCTTCCCACACTTGAAAATATTGATATTAATTTAGTAGTCCATTTACAATTCCGACCTGGACGATATGGTGTGTTCACCTTGGCTGTGTGACTAGGTAAAATTGTATAATCACAGTTAGTAAGTTTCATTTGACTAGACTGATCTTATTCAGTCTCCTTCAGCCAACCAAAACATTTGTCCTGCCGTTGTTTGCTCCCTGCTTTGCAGCATGACCCAGCCATGCAACGATGGTTTTCCGCGCGGGTTACCTATGCTGAGTACTTAAAACCTTCGAAAAAAGGAGCCCTCGTCTCCCTTCTTTTCTTTGGAGTTGCTGCTGGATTGTATGGACTAGCTACCATGCGGAGGGTAAAATATGCTGCACTTAATTATATTAGTAACTTTCAACCGTTTTTAAGCCTCTGCGTTACTTACTTTCTCATTTTTACCCTTA